GAGGCGGGTAAACAAGGCTTTTAAGGAGTGAATTGAGTTTTCTCGTTTTTTTAACATGTATGAATGTAATTTTCTATCACTTTTATTAGGAGTGGTGAAATCCTAAAGAGATAAACTTAGAAAGATAAAGGGAGAGACTCTTATAATTCATTATTATAAGAATTAGAAAATCTTTGAGAATTTCTAAGAGGATAAATAAAAACTTCTAATCACCTTGAGTTAGTATGATTCATATAGTGAGAGGATGAGAGATTGAAAAACTCTTTGCTAGAAAATATGAGATCTTCTTAGAAACCGAAGATTATTTTCTTGTAATCTCTTGTAACAACTCTTGAATTATAGTTGAATATATAAGATAAAAAAACCTCATACATATATTGTCTTAAGATTTTGAGTGAATATATTATGTTAAAACCGTTAATTATCTTGAATTCGTTGTAACTTTTGTATTATTCGATCTCCCGACAAGTGGTATCATAATCTTATTTGGTTTAGTTAGGAGCAGAAGTTGAATTTGTGTGGATCCTATTATAGAATGTATGCATTTTTTTTTTATATATATCCAATATTTTCTCCCTTTCTTTTAGTAGATATGTTAACAATAATTAAAAAAATATATTGTATTGATAAAAAAATAATAAAGATAATATGTATATATAAGTATTAGAAGTCCCAAAAGCACTGAAGGATCCACATAGTGAATGATGGGGGCACTTGACCCACAAAGACTTTTGCTAAGGACTATAGCTTTTTTTTATGCTTAGCATTTTAGATGTTTAATAATCTAAATAAATGTTATATGTATAATTTATTAATTATCAATTATATGACACTTATCAGATTTAAATGAATCATAGATTTTATTATATAAATTTACACATAAAAAATAGTATATATTTTTAATATAGGTGGTTTTTAATAAATTAGTAAAGTTAAATATTAAAAATAAATCATTTTCAAATATATGTGTTTTATATTTTTACATATTAATTTATTCTAATTATTAAGTTTTTAATTTCTTGTGTCAAAGTAGTGTAGTTCGACAAAAATAAGGATTATTTGAATTAGCCTAATGAGTCTGTGTGTCGAGTTATTTAGATGTCGAATTGTCAAAGCAGGTTATTTGACACAGGATTTCGACTTAAGACCAAAATTAGTAATTTTGGACTTTTGTGGTTTTAGGCTTTCTCATCTATAAATAAAGGGAGGAACCACTATTTTGTAATAACTTGTATTCACGGGTTTTTGTAGTTGTAAAGTGAATAAAAAAGTTTTCCACAATTTGTGGGCGGAGATTCCGCAATTAAAACTCATTCTCTTCTTCTTTTGATTTTGTTGAACTCTTTCTTTCTTTCTCGTTTTTATTAACAGTTGATGCGCATAATCTTTCTTGAGATCAAGATTGATTAGGAATTCTCAAAAGGTTTTGGGTTAATTTCAACATCTGATATCTAGAGATCCGGTTGTGATTCGAGGGAAGAAAATCACGATGGTGTTGAATCATCCAAACGGACATTTTTCGGAGAATCTTCTAATTCTCAAGAACAATAATTATGAGAATTGGTGCAAGCAGATAAAGGTGGTTTTCCGTTATCAAGATCTTTGGGATCTTGTGAAAGGAGGAGTAGCACCGCTTGCAGAAAATGTGACAGATCAAGAAAAGGATGCATACAAAGAATTGAAGAACAAAGATTATAAAGCTCTCTTTATAATCCATCAATGTGTTGATCGAGATAACTTTGAAAAGGTTAGTGATGTAGAATCAGCGAAAGAAGCATGGGAAATCTTGGAGAAATTGTTTGGAGGTGTAGAGAAGGTGAAAGAGGAGAGGTTACAAACTCACAAAAGAACGTATGAATTGATTCAGACGAAAGAAAGTGAAAGCATATTGGTTTCTTCACTAGGGTTACTAAACTGGTGAATCAAATCAAGGTATATGGAGAAGTGTTGACATCAAGATCAGTTGTTGCAAAGATCTTGAGGTCATTGGCTCCAAAGTTTGACCACGTGGTAGTAGCCATAGAAGAGTCGAAAGACTTGTTAGTATTGACGAAGGAAGAGCTTTAAGGGACACTTGAGTCTCATGAACAAAGGATGGCTGAAAGTGTTGCAGGAAAGTCGAAGAGTGATATGGCTTTGTAGGTGCAGTCAGAAAAAGAAAAGAAAGTTATAGGAATTCGGAATGACAACAAAGGCAGAGGAGGCTACAACAATTCGATTAGTCAAAATCGGTAGGAAGGAAACTAGTCGAATCAGAGAAAACCCTAGAACCAAGGCAACCCAAGAGGTGAAATCAGCACGGTGTAACCCTGGCCGATCAAATTCTCTCTTGTTCTTCAATCTTCACTCGAGTGAATCAACCAACCTTGGTTGCAAGATTGTATCGCTACACAATGGTGATGAAAACAAGAAAAGAAAATTGAATTGGAGAAAAAGAAGAATTTCTCCAAAGTAACTTTTCGCTTTCAAAACTTCAATTTTATTCAACTGAAACACTCTTTACAATAATAGGGTTACTCCCTATTTATAGATTTAGCTTGCTTGCTCCATAAGAAAAGCCAAAAAAATCTCAAAATACCAAATTCTGCTAACACTACAAAATTAGGTTTAAGACAAAATCCATATTGAGGATACTCCTTCAATACTTCGACAACTAGGTGTTTCAACACACACACATACACATTAGGTTATTCGAAAACTTCCTTGTTCCTATCGAGCAACCTACTTCAACGCAAGGAATTACAATTTAATACACCACCTAGTCCATTGTGCCTAAGCTATCTATATTCATCATAGAACTTAACTTCTTGAACACATCAACTTGCACTTCCTTCGTCATGATGTCTGCAATCTGATTTTCATTTATGCAGTATTCCAAGTCCATCTTTGCTTCTGCTACCTTCTCTTGAAGATAATGGAACCTCATTTCGATGTGCTTGCTCCATCCATTTGACTCGACTTGTCATCGAGCTTTCTTCTCAACTGATCTAACACATGTCTATGTGATATAGATCCAAATATCTTAAAATGACTCAAGCTAGGCTTGACACCAGACCAACAGTCTTCTAGAATAATTCGTTCTAGCTTCTTCATTGAACATCTGTTCAAGATGTATATTATAGTTAACACAACTTCTCCCCATAATTCTTTAAGTAGATGCTTATAATTTCGACATACTTCTCACCATATTCATGATGGTTCTATTCTTTCTTTGTGTAGTTCCATTATGTTGTGGAGTGTAGGGTGACACCACCTCATGCACAGTCTCTTCTTTCTCACATAATGTATCAAAGTATTTTGACACATATTCTACACCATCATCAGTCCTTAAAATCTTGAGCTTTCAACCACTTTGTCTTTTGACCATAGATTTAAACTTGGAAAATACCTCGATCACTTCATTTTTCTTCTTGATCAAGTAAGTCTATTGTTTTCTACTAAAATCATCTATGAAAGTGACTAAGTACTTTTTACCTTTAATCGAATCCACCTAGATAGGTTCACACACATCAGATTATATGACTTCAAGAACTGCCTTCAACCTGCCTCCTGCATCCTTGTTGAAGTTGTTCTCGTGTTACTTTGCCTGCACACATTCTTCACACAGTTCGTTTGGAATGTCCATTTCTAGTAGCCTGAAACCATATTTCTTCTTTTCTGATCTTTGATGTCTTTAAAATTTATATGGACTAGCCTATAGTGCCATACCCATTCATCCATGTTAGGTGCAATTGCAAGAAACTTGTGATCCATCACATTAAATTCAATCTTGAAGGTTCTATTTTGAGATATAGGTGCCTTCAAGATTAACCTTTCACCTGAGTCAAGAACTTTCATCATCTTGTCTTCAATCGAAACTTTGTAGTTCTTTTCAACCAACTTCCCTATGTTGATAAAATTACTCTTCATTCCTGATATGTACATTACATTGGAAATTACTGACCTCTTTCCATCTTTCCTCATAATCATAACATGACCAATACCTTCACCTGCTAGAGTATTATCATTTGCATATTTCACCATGTTTTTCATTGAGGGTTTTATGTTGAGGAATTAATCCTTCCTACCAGTCATGTGTGATGAGCATTAAGAGTCCAAGTACCATTGGTCCTGAATTCTTTCTTCATCTCTTGTTGTGACTATCATTCTTTACAAAAATAGGATTACTCCTTATTTATAGATTTAGTTTACTTGCTCCTTAAGTAAACCCAAAAAATAAAAATTGCAAAATACTTGATTATACTAAAACTACAAAATTAGGGTTAAGACAAAATTCATGTCGAGGTTACTCCTCCAACACTTCGTCAACTAGGTGTTTCGACACACAATAGTAGGTTATTCGACAATTTCTTTATCCCTGTCGAACAACCTGTTTCAACACAAGGAATTACAATTCAACAATTATGACTTAAATTACAAGAAAATCAATAATTTTGATTCAATCATATGATATCAACTACATATCTTTTTTTATTAAAATTTTGACTGAGTTGTTGTCAAAAAAAATTAAGAGTAAAATATATTTTACCCCTACAATGTGAATGAGTTTCGATTTTACTTATAAAATATATTTTTTTTAAATACCCTTGTAATGTTTAGATTCTCTTTCTTTATCCTCTTTAGTGAGGTGACAACTATGAATCTTCTCATTTACTAATTTTTTTGATCGTCCAAAAGGTATTTATTTAATTTCTATTTTTTATAATATCATTATATTTAAATTAAGAATAAAATAATTTTAATATAGTAGTTTTGAAGAAGCTAATTAATTTTTGATATATAAATAAGGAAAAACTGAATCACGTTTGGAAAACTATTGCAATAGCTGCCATCGTTTAAACCGTGGTCAAAGCACTTTTTAGTGTCTTTGTAACTTTCCTTTAAAAGAAGTGTGTAAAAACAATTCTTACTCGTATTATTGACCCAAATTTGCATTTTGCTTCCTCAACAACTATATAGCATAAGCAATTGAAAGAGCAGTTTGTAGAGAGAGATACAAGATGGTTTTTGTTGCATTATCACAAACTCTTTTTGTGCTCATTTCAATAATACTTGCTTTATGTCTTTGCTTGATCACAACACTAACATATTTTTGGTGGATTTTACCAAACTGTAAACTTCAAAACCTTAAGAGATGTGGATTTGATGGGCCAACACCAAGTTTTCCATTTGGAAACATCAAAGAAATGAAAAGGAATTCTTCTTTTTCTTCTTCACTTGATATCACTCATAATATTCACTCTACTGTTTCTCCTTATTATTCTTCTTGGCAAAAATCTTTTGGTAAGCTAAGAATCATGATTTTTTTAATTGTAATTTATAATGATATTTAGAAACTCGATATAAGATCTTAGTATAGACTAATCTGGGATCAATCTCACCGTTCATTTTTGTTCTGTATGGACTGACCAAAAGATATTTACGTGGAATAATGCATTTTTAGGGAAAGTTTTCGTATATTGGTTGGGAGCAGAACCATTTTTATACGTTGCAGATCCTGAAATCTTGAAGAAAATATCTGGAAAAGTTATGGCGAAGAAATGGGGGAAACCAAGTGTTTTTAGAAAAGATAGAAAAGCAATGTTTGGAAATGGTTTGGTGATGGCTGAAGGCAGCATATGGGTACATCATCGACATGTTATAGCCCCAACATTTACTCCCATTAATCTTAAGGTTTAATATATTCTCTCTCTCTTCACTCTTAAATTTTTATCATCATTCAAATAATGTCTTAAATAATTTTATTATATCATGGTGTTAATATTGATATACTTCAATATATAACATATATTCTTTATATTATTTAATAAATTAATCCTAACTATATAGTTTCAACATTTTTGTCCTCTCTATAGACAATGGCAGGCATGATGGTTGATTCAACAAAGAAAATGATCAATAGGTGGAATTCCGAAATTAACTCCGGGCGCCTTGAACTCGACCTCGAAAGCGAGATTGTAGCAATGGCCGGAGAGATCATAGCAAGAGCAAGCTTTGGAATGGATGATGAAAATGGAAAAATAGTTTTTGATCAGCTAAGAACTTTGCAAATGACCCTTTTTAAGACAAATAGATATGTGGGGGTCCCCTTTGGAAAATTCTTTAATTTTAAGAAAACTTTAGAAGCCAAGAAAATTGGTGAGGAAGTTGACAAGCTCTTGTTATCCATTATAGAAAGTAGGATGAACTCAAATGATAAGAAACAACATGAACAAGATTTGTTGGGTCATTTGTTGAAAGAAAATAACGAGATTGATGGACAAATGAATAAGGCTTTAACAAAAAAGGAATTGGTTGATGAGTGCAAGACATTTTTCTTTGGTGGCTATGAGACAACATCTCTATCAATCACATGGACTTTGTTACTTCTAGCTTTGCATCAAGATTGGCAAAACCAATTGAGACATGAAATTAAACAAGTTGTAGGAAATGTTGAACAACTTGATATCAACTTACTTGCTGATTTAAAGAAGGTAATTTAAATTTAAAATTTTAGGGTTTAAATATATTTAAATATTTATATACTTTCATATTTACGTTTACGTAACTGTAGAGGCTAATATTTCGTTCCGACTAAAATTGTGTTATATTTTTGACCTATCTATGTAGATGAAATGGGTGATGAATGAAGCACTTAGACTCTACCCACCATCTCCAAATGTGCAAAGGCAAACAATGGAGGATATTCAAGTAGATAATGTAAAGGTGCCTAAAGGGACCAACATTTGGATTGATGTTGTAGCAATGCACCATGATGTTACATTATGGGGGAATGACGCCAACAAGTTCAAACCAGAGAGATTTATGAATGATGCAAATGGGGAATGCAACCACAAAATGGGATACTTGCCATTTGGTTTTGGAGGGAGAGCATGTGTTGGTAGGAACTTGACTTTCATGGAGTATAAGATAGTGTTAACCCTACTTCTTTCTAAGTTTAAGTTTAAACTCTCCCCTAGTTATTACCATTCTCCTACTATCATGTTGTCTCTTAGACCTAGTTGTGGACTTCCTCTCATAGTTCAACCATTGTAGGATGTTATTGTATCAAGTAAGAACATGTATCCCTCCTCTATTGGCATTTTAGTTATTTGGGTGGAAATAAATAAGACTAAACTTGAATTAGGGTTAAAATAAAAGGTAGAGAAAAAATAGCATATTGCTCTAGAAAACATGGTGTTGCTTCAAGTTACAAAACTTATGTTGAGACTAAATATAAAAAAAAAATTTCATTATGAAATCATTCTTTTTTATTCGGAAGGGTTTTTTTAATGGCAAATGTATATAGGAGGCAAAAAGTACAAGATATAAAGTGGAGTTAGTAATCGGCACAATAAGTAGTACATCAAAACTTACCAAAGAACATAAAGTGAAAAGAAAAAAAAAATACAAAGCAAGACAAAAGTTTTGATTGGGAGGGTTTTGGAGGATTTGTTTTTATTCATAACACCAAAAAACTCCTAATTTAGGGGAACTCAAAATGAGTATGAAATGAGGATTTTCGACGGTTTACATAATTTTTCTAAATATATTTTATAATGTTATAGTATTATGAAAATTAAAAATATAGGAATGATAAACACTCTTATCATTCTATACAAAATTATTCTTTCAAAAATTATCAAATATTTTTCTAAATTCTTTTAAAAATTAGTTCTCATAAACCTTCTTTTCTCCTCCAAACTCTCAAAAAAAAAACTTTAAGGTTTTCGTTGAGTATGTGGTGTATTTGTCACTTGGTGTGTTGCTCATAAAGAAATGTCTCAATAAAAAACCCTCCCTCATGTTAACATTCAAAGGACGACAGTACAAGTGTATGTGGATGAAAATAGCTTCCGCTTAAGAGAGATAATTATAAAAAGACTCACACTTGAGGAGGAGTGTTGAGAAAACAATTGTAAGTTGAAAGTGTTGAGAAACAAGAGAAAGGTGAAGTCTCACATTGATTAGAAAAATAAATATTAGGTCCCTTAAAATTTTAAGTGAATATGTTATTTCTCTCTCACTTGGTGTATTGCTAATTTAAAAAACCTAATGTAAATGCTCTCTCGCGTTAATTCCCAAAGAATTTATGACCCAACTATTTTAATCATTTATCACTAGTTTTTCTTTCTCTTTAAAAAATTGTTGTAATCATTTCTCAACCATTGAATTAATCACATAAGAAAGATTGTTGACTGCAAATGGTTGGAGACATCTCTTTTCTAGAATGGTAGATATGAGTTAAAAATGTTAGATTTATCTAACTTTTGTGGGCTACAATCAATATTTATTTAGTTTGTGAAAAACTAGTTAATCGTGATTTTGATGGAGGTGCATAAATAAGCTCATTTTATTGGTTAAGTGTTCTTTTTAATTAAATGCTGAGTATCTCAAACCTGATTGGTGTGGGTAAAAGTATGAACTTTAACCCTTGACCCATAATGGGTAGGGACTATATATATATATATATATATATATATATATATATATATATATATATATATATATATATATATATATATATATATATATATATATATATATATATATATATATATATATATATATATATATATATATATATATATATATATATATTATGAATCGGATGTTTTGAAACAAAGTATAAACGGTTTCTTTATGATCAAGAAACACACAAGGGTTGGGGTTAACAAAGAAACCAAGGTAAAACAACAAGGAACAACAAGGATTGGCTATAAATTGTTATTCTTTCCTTACTCTTAGAACAAGATTACAAGTATACAAGAATAACAATATACCCTCTTTCTCTTGAAATTAGGATTTTATCTTCCTATTTTTCCTTATTCCAAAATTGAGAAACTAGCATCATATTTATAAGAAAAAATAGCACACTAACCTAATGGGCTTTTTAACAATTACCCATTACAAGCTTACTTAGGGTACAAGCTAACTTAAACAATTGGGCTTACAAGCAAGGCCCAATTCAACATGCTAACAACTCTAACAATATTGACTAATGCATGTTAGAACAAACTTCGACCCCATGCTTAATTTCTCTGACAGCAGCATGCGAACATACTTCGATCTCATGCTTAATTTCTGTCGAACTAGAAGCTACCATTCGACCATACTAAAGTTCGATCCAATATCTCACAAATATCCACCTTGGATCTAACTCTATAACATCAAGAAAACTAGTTTTTTTCATGCAGCTTTATCAACTGCATACAGTGAAAAAACTTGCAACTGGACAACGTCTTGGTGATCATATCGGCAATATTATGATATGTTGAAACCTTCAGCACTTGGACTTCTTCACGCTCGATTACCCCTCTGACGAAATGCAGCATCACATCAATGTGCTTGGTTCACTCATGATAAGCTGAATTCTTCGACAGGTGTATTGCACTTTGGCTATCACATTTAACAGTGATAACTTGACCTTGAAGTTTTAGCTCCTTTGCAAAACCTTCAAGCCACGATGCTTCCTTCACAGCTTTAGTTAGGGCAATATATTCCGCTTCAGTGGTTGATAAGGCAACGACCTTCTGAAGTGTAACTTTCCAACTGATTTTTATCCCAAACATAGTGAACACATATCCAGAAATAGATTTTCTGGAATCCATACAACCTGCATAATTAGAGTCGACATATCCTTCGATTCCTGCTTTACTATCTTCACCCAAGGCTCCACCATAAATTAGGACTCTATTCAAAGACTGATTTATGTACCTTAAAATCCACTTCAATGTTTGTCAGTGAGCCTTTCCAGAATTTTCCATTTACTTGCTTACAAGAGTTACTGCATATGCTATGTCGGGTCTAGTACAGACCATAGCATACATCAAAGAACCTAATATGTTAGCATATGGAATGTTATTCATATAAGTTATTTCAACATCAGTGTTGGGACACTGATCTATACTCAGCTTGAATTGAGGGTTTGTCAGAGTCCTCTGCCAAACCACGGACAAGCTGGAAGCGGCTGAGTCGCCAACAAGTCAAGATACAAGGAGCCCAGTTCCTAGAAGCTGGCAATCTGCATTTTTCATGTCACTTCTTTACATTTGTAGTTTCTTTCCTGTAGAATTGCAAATTTTGTTTGTAAAGCTTGTTGTTTTCAATTGATATTGATAATGAAATAAATATGCATGTTTTGAATTAATTCATTCGTGTTCACTTTATTGCTTTCTTTTATTTCAAACGCTTGTTTAAGTGGAATCCGGGGAGGATGACGAAATCCAATGACGCGTAAGCTTCCGATGTTATGCTTTTGAATAAAAACCTGTTGATGATGTACAGGCATTATTTCAATTCACAAACACCGGAGATATAAGGAAGATAGTCCCTTGTTAACCCCTTTGAGCCTAGTTGTAGGAGTTTCTTTCTGAAAATGAAAAACCCTCAATCTTAACCCGGGGCAGGGTAGGTGTCAGTTAATTTGACCAAGCGTTCGAATTACAAATGGAGTGTCCATTCGAGGATAGAGCATACATATATAGGTCGTACCTAAAAAACCACAATGGTTAAACCTGGTCGATCAGGAGTGAAACAGTCAAAATCTCTTTAACAAGTCATACGAGCCGATGTCATACGATTTGTTCCAAAAAAAAAGAGAGAAAGAAAAGAATCAAAAAGGAAAAAGCCCGCTAAGTCGAATCTTGAAAGCAAGCGACTTAGGCAAAAATTAGGGTACCCCGCTGAACTTCAAAATTGAAGAAACTCTAAAGAGTTAGTCCAGGCAAAAGTTAGGGGAAAACGAAAAACGAAAAGCGAAAAGGATTACAAAAGAAAAATCCTCAAACAAGAACGAAATCGTGTGGCTCCGGACGCCAAAATACGAAAAGGGAGCGACTGTCACTTCGAAAAGTGTAATTTCTTGAACTGTCACTCAACCTTTGAAAGGAGAACTCTAAGGTCGAATTAGCTGAACGTAGGATCGGAGAACATCACGGAGAATGGGTGGGTTAAAATGAATTTTGAGCCTTTATCTTTTCTTTCATAAACCGTGAACCTGGACACGTTACAACCTTTAAAAGTCCTAATTGAGAGAAAGAGCCATTCCTCTCCATATCTGCAGAGTTTGTCAAAAGTTGTTATAGATTCTAGGGCAAGCCATTTCGAGTTCGTTGCATGGCATGTTTTCCAAGCAGGATGACTCCTTTCTGCCTCAGCAGGTTCGGTCGTGTTTCCCAACGTTGTCTGAACATGAGGCTATGAGCATTGATGTACCTCCCCGAACGGAGATAGATTCTCCCCAACCAGATGCATCTTAGGCAGGGATCATGTTTCCCCAACCGGAGTTCCTTAACGTAGGAACGGGCTCTAGATGAACTTATTCCTCCCCAACATATGGGATTCGCATTTTTATCCCCAGAAGAGTTGGATGCAGGCTAGCAGGTAGTCAGGCAGATGTGTGCATTCCCAGCAGTTGGTTACGTGTGCACATTTAATCCCCAGTGGATACCTCACAGAGTACAACCAGGTTGTCAGTGGTTTGTAAGAATCATCCCCACGCAGGACCGTCCTTTCTATTCCCCAGAAGGTTGTCTTTCCTCCAATAGGTTGTTCATCCTCTGCAGAGTTCGTAACTCCGGATTTGTTAAGCTATCCCCCAGCAGGATTGTTTCTTCCCCCCAACGGAAGTTTGGCTTCGTTCCTCCGGCATTTATTTTGCCGGAACGCCCTCTTTGCATTTGCATCGTGCATAGCATCTACCCCAAACGTGTAGCATTTCCATTCCGTATGGAGCATTACGCCATTTTCAAACATATGCATTTTGAAACATAAGCCAGGTTGGTTACCTCTTTGTTTTCAGGTGTTTTTCCCTGCAGGTAATTGGAATTCTTGTTCAGGATGGTTTTCGAATGTTCAAATTTTTGGCATGAGATATGTGATGATAACGTTCGTCCTATCATGTGTGCCTTTATCAGAGCTGCTTGGTTAAGTTTCTCTTCTTCCCCAACGGAGTTTTCCTCAGATTGTTGTTACGTCAGTGTTAGAAGATTTTAGGGACTAGACCTTTGAAGTCGTTACTTGTTGTCAAAGTAAGTACTTGACAGTTGACGTTA